TCGTCGGATGGTGGTTCATTTGGGGCAGCAGCGCGTTTGTTTCTCCGTAACCTTGGTGATTCGACGGTTTTGCCCTGCTGCTCGCCGCACTCGTGCTGCTTTCCGCTTGCGTCTTTTGCCACCCTCGGTGCTTTTTACCGTGCACTGCGCAAGGTAGCGGCTTGCTGCGCATTGTTCCCAATGACAAATCCTGCGGGATAGGGGGTACCTTCGGACTTCCTCCTTCCTGATCTCCGGGGTCCTGCGACTTTGGTTTGCTGGTCATCGCCTGTGTTTTGCTCATCCGTGTGCTCGTCGCCAGTGTGCTGCTCTCCGGCGTGCTGCTCTTTGCCTGCATCCTTTTTAAGGGAAGTTGAGTTCTGGGGCTGATCGCTCGAAAACGCTATCTCATACGTAATCGGGTCGTGATCATTGCATTCCGCGTTGCAAGGGATATATTCCTCGGACCGATCTGTGGAATCCGTCCAGTTGACCGCTTCGGCCTGAGTGGGAGTGACGCTGAATCCAGAGTGGTAGGCGCCTGGGAGGGTAATGACCAATTGCCCCGCTCTCTGCTTGAACTCTCTTACCACGACGCCCCCCTCCCGCAAGCGATCAACGCCGCCATGCAAAGCTTGGTGCTGGAGATATTGGTTGTGGGTCGGCGTCACTCCCAGCATGTCGACAAACACTCTGTCCGCTTGTTTTTTTGATCCTGGCTCGTTGATTGGTGGACCCCAGGTGGCTTGGTGGGTGCCAGGTGGTAAGGCTCCATCCAACCCACTGCTTGAATTTGCAGGGGGGGGGACTCCCGAATCCGGTTTAGAGACCTTTTTTCTTTTTGTTTTCTTACCTTCACCCAAGTGGTCTTTTCCTCGTTCTCCACAAGCCTCCATATCGCACAGTCTACCCCGATTCAGTGGCTATGGGTATCTCTTAGCACCATGCTCTCTTTCCTCCGTCCCGTCAGCCCGTCTATGACGGCCCTGTCGGGCAGATTCGGGCCCTGGATAACGCACGGCGCTACCAGAACCCCACGTCTCGCGTTTTTCAGGTCCGGCCCACGAGGACGGAAGACGCGCTCAAGTCACGAACCACGTGGAGAAGAGCCAGTCGAATCCCCGGCGAAAAGTCACCAAATGGCGCATGCACGTCATGCACGATCCACAACCTCGTCGCCGCCTGGCGGACCCGACCCGCCGCGGCAAACGACATGCCCGGAGCCACTGTACCTCGAGGTGGAACGCAGCCCACATCACCAACGGGGTCTCGCAGCCGCCAAGAGATTGTCCCATCAGGCGGCTCTGTCGGCCAGACACCCTGCGGAGGGAGCCAATCCTTTGACTGGGTCTTTGCTGACCGCAGAATCGCTGCCACATCGTCCCAAGAGGCGTTGCACAACAGATGCCGTATCAGCGCGCGGCTTGGGCGGTGGCACGACCGAGCCTTGGGGCGATGCGGACCACCCGCCTTGGTCGGGAACCGCTGCTTCTTCATCTCCCAATCTTAGAGATCCGTCGAGCGACTCAAACTCCGACATGGCCGCGGACCACCCAACCCTGTCGGGCGTCTCAACTACGACGGCCGACCTGCCGTACCAAGTTGCCACTACCGCCGAGAGTCTGGCCCAGCTGACGAACTCGCAAATTTATATCAACGTCATGCGAGGTGACCCCCAAAACCCAACAGGTCAAGGGCGCCCTCTCTCGGAAACGCAACCCAGGGTAACGCTCGACCCCCAAAACCTGAAAGGTCCAGAGCACCCTCTCAGGGAAACGCAACCCGCGGTGACGCTCAACAGCGAACAGACCAACCTAGTCAACCTCCTACTCAGCGGCCGAAATGTGTTCTACACGGGGCGCGCGGGCTGCGGCAAGTCGACCGTGCTAAAGGCCTTTGTCGCGGAGCTAAGAGAGAGAGGCAAAAGAGTCGATGTCGTGGCCCCAACAGGCATCGCGGCCCTCCAAATCCAAGGGAAAACGACGTGGAGCTACATGGGCTGGAAGCCGGACGACGACCGACGTCCTCTTTACGAACTGAAGCCTAAAACTAAAAGGCAAAAACCTGTGCGAAGGCGGCTGGAGGAGACCGACGTCTTGATCATTGACGAGATCAGCATGGTTGACAGCAACCATTTCTACCGTATGAGCGAGTGTATGAAATACGCGCGCGGGTTCCTCGGAGACGACAAGCCCTTCGGCGGTGTGCAAGTCGTGGTTACGGGCGATTTTCTTCAGCTGCCCCCGGTCAAGCCGTTCAAGTACTGCGCTGAGTGCGGGAGGG